GGGGTTATGGCGCGATTTGATGTGGAAATCAAGCCTCGCTAAATATTAAACAACACGCGTGGATTATGATCCATGGCGTGTCAGGCATCTAGAATAAGGAAATTACCCGAGAAAATGATATCGATAAATTTTCTAAGTATAAACGTTGATGATGTTTCGATTTTCATTCAAGAAAGAAAGGGGCCGTGCTCTTTTCTTTCTTTTCTTTTTTTTCTCCTTCTTTCCCCTGCTGTGGGTGTGTGAGAGAGTTGTAAATGCAAGCGGAGCCCCGGAGGTGCGGCATTTATGTAATGTGAGTGTGGAAATGAACTGGGTAATTTATTGGAAAACACAAAGTCAGGAAGATTGGATCAGCACCGCCTATCCAAGGGCTCCTATCCATCAAGTTCCAATTAACAAGCTAACCATTGACTTTTAATGGCTTTCCAATCTACTGCCCTGATAGACTCATCAATTCCTCGGGGAGAAATTAAGAAAATCGACCGCCAAACGCCTCCTCCCCTCTTCACGCCCAACCACACCGCACCCTCCCCGCGGCGAGCCGGTGCCGTTCTTCACGGCAACTATATGTCAAATTAAAAACACAATTAAAATTTAAACTGTTCCAATCAGACGCGGGCCCGCAACCTATGTTTCACTTAATGGAACCTTGATGAAAATCGGATGCTCGCTTTCCATCACGTGGCGAATTCTTTGCAAACAAGGCCGTGCGTCCGCGCACGCGCTGTATGTCTCGAAGCCTACGCGGAACAGAAGGGACGCGTCACCGGTGATCTCTGCCTAAATAACCGTGGCGTACCCAATTACGCACGCACTTTGAAGAGGCAAAAACATTAACAACTTCTGGCATTTTGCACGAACGTGGAGTCAAATGCCCCGGATGTAGTTTGCATCGTTGTCATAAGACGCCTAGGCTGATTCCACTTCATTTTTAGAAAGGAAAATGTTGGCGACAAATGCATTTACGCACAACTTGTTTGAAAAAAATCTCTCCGAGTAAAGCTTTGGCTGACCTACAAATCATCAATGCGACTTAAAATCACCCCCTAAATGCCTGATCATGTAATGGGATTTTTTTTTGGGGGGGGGCGGTGGCGTGACAATGGAAATTATCGAGTGGTAATTTTATTTCCAATTTATGCGCCCACATCAAGGTCATCACCCAGCCGAGGTGCGCGAGCTGGCCTGACTTAACGGCCGCAATGTGCACGCATGCATGCGTGCAGACGCGGACGGTCGATACACGCTGCACTCCCGTGTGCTTGCGCGCGCGTGTGTGTGTGTGCGTGCGTGCCAGAGGAAGGGAATACTGTAATGTCTAATCTATTCATTTGCGGTAATGGAGTGGCGTGTAGCGTGTGGCGTGCGCGCTAAAGGTGCACGTCGATAACGATGATGATGATGACGATGGCGACGATCGGATCGGAGGGAGCATATTGTCTGGTGATGAGGTCATCGTGCGCGGCAGACTGAGTCGTTTCGAGCATTATTAGTGCCGTCATTAATAGTGGATGTCGTCTACAGATGTCCGCGCAAAAGTGACAATACTTGAGTTGAGCGCGACTGTCAATTTAAAGGGACCGCGCAACATTTTCGAGTCTGCAACGGCGATTCAAATCGGAATGTAAAACTATACCGGGATGAAGATGGGCTACATGAATCACACATGGTAGAGAGCGAGACAGTTCTGAAAAATGATGTATTTTAGAGTAATTGAATGAAAATACAAACTTTCATCCCGGCACAATTAAAACCAAATCGATATGCTTCTTTACCTTAATGTTGAAAGACGATTGTGTCGCTGCGACGAATTCAGATCGGCTCGTATTGCGGCACGCGTGGCCCAATGCATAAATATGTCACAGAAACAGATTTAACGTGCTTCATTGCTATTCTAATTGGAAAAGAAAATCATGTAGAAAGAATTTTCACCTGATAGAAATGAAATCAAACATATGCACTTCTCCCAAAATGGTGTACATTGCATTGAAAAAAACTGCAATCAAATGTATAATTACGTCCCTTGAAATAAAATGAATTAAATTACTACAGGGAAAATAATAATTATTATTTTTGTCCTGAATTTCCCCAACCCCCCCCCCCACACACACACACACACACACACACACAGAGTCACACAAGGAGGTCGTTGGCTGTTTCGTGGCATCAAGTGTCCGGTGACACTTGTCGGATCATGTGTGTTACAAAGTAGCAGCTCAATAATTTATCTTGGAAATGTTCTCCATTCATGCTCTTCAACATACCTGCGCTTGAGACCAACCGCTGCCAAATGTGCATGGGTTCAACATTTTTTAAAACATAATCTAGCTCATCTAAATACATTTTTTTTTGTTTCTCATTCATTAAAATACAAATGCTGAAACATCAAAGGAGATGTGGAAAATCTCTCTCTCTCTCTCACACACACACACACACACACACACACACACACACACACACATACACACACGGTAATGCCCACTCGTGTGGCTCCATTGCAGACGATTATTTTGACAAGATGGTGGTAATTACGCATCTAATTGAAGGGGCTATTTTTATGCAAAATGTATTTTTTTAAATCCACCTGTCACCCTACCTCCCCTCCCCAAAAAACATGAATGAAATTAAAATCAAACAGCCCCAGCGCCACGGCGCAAAAATGAATAAATGGGGGAAGGGGGGAAATATCGGGAATAGTCTCCATTTATTTCACCACGTGGTTCATCAATACAATATTAAAAGAAACGATGTGTGTGTTTCTGTACACAGAAAAAACAAGCAAAAAAATCTCCGCGTCAATTAAATATTTACATTTACATAACTCCATACAGCAAAATGGAAAACCTCAACCTAATGACACAAACAACACGGCCATGTATAGTTGGGAGTGTCTTGATTGTCACCCGTCATGAGCTCTTTTGTCACAACAAATCAAGTCAAATGTACAAATTATTATTGTTTGGGATGATGAATTGCACATAACTGTGAAAAAAAAACTTTTTTTTTTAATGAACAAGCCAGTCATGGGACTTCTTTTAGACTGTAAACAAAAACTACGCCCCCCCAAAAGAAACCAAACAAACAAACAAACAAAAAACAGAAGAAATAAAAAAATAGACACTCTTTAGGCAGTGTTCGCAGGTACACCTGAGATGATGATAACAACGGTAATAATAATAACAATGTGGTTGAATTGTCGGATCACATGTTGACCGTCAGGGGTCCCTTCGGGCCTTTTCAGTGGTTTTCTTGCTCGCTTCTTCATCGAGTACAAAAATAGGGAGTCTTTTTTTTTCTTTTTTCTTTTTTTTTTCTCTCTCTCTCTCTCTCTCGCTCTGTCTCTCACACGGGTCTGGCCACTTCAGGTGGTATGGTTGTGTCAGACATACAGCTCATCACTGACAAGGACGCCATTCCTCATGGCTACTGCTTAATTGCGGAGCACCTGGAACCAAGTGAGCATATAAACATACATTTATGTATGGAAATTGATGTGGAAAGCAATCAGATAACTCGTACGTAGGCTTTTCTAAAATGTTCTATGGTCAATTGTGTATTTAAAACCCATGGTAAATCTCGTCGTATAAAATACCACTTTAAAAAAAAAACGATACAATTTGTATCAATGTCCTATAAATGAGGACATGACGTAGCTTGACCTAAAAACTACATTCACCAGACTATTCAGGGAGTATTCCAATGAGCCTAAAAAGCATAAATGCAGGGCTCCACACTACATTTTAGGTGTGCAAGTAGGAAGCTTATAGGCACAAATGAATCACTAATTGACTTGCTTCGTAAATATTCACATTTTCACCTGATGTATGGGCTAAAGTGTGGAGCAGAAGATTGTCAGCAACAACAACAAATCAATGTAAAAAAAGTTCATAAATTAGCAAATGTATTGCTCACATAAGCGCGAGTAGATGAAAAATGAAGTTGTACTTCGCGAAATTTAAGGAGCAAAATGCCACCGTTTAGGGGCAGTCTGGAGCCCTGTAAGTGCATTAGTGACACATGTACAATCACAGAAAATCCAACGGACAACGGAGGAATGCTAACTTCTGGTCGCCAGTCTAACGCATTGCAATTGCTTCAAACTCTTCAAAATATACTTGCAGTCTGCTGAAATTGCGTGAAGTTACCACAAAATGTCGTGTTGCCTTATTAAATTCCTCCAGTTTTCGAGGCGTTGGCAAAGCGATCAAAGCTCCATCTATCATTAAAGGAGCCATTTGCTTTGTACAGTACTGTACGTGCAGTTCCGTGTGAACAGGCAACTTATTTTGACACGCTCAATGTTGGTGATACAACACAAAAACAACCACAAAATAGACTAGAAAGCCTTTATTGTTATAGTCCTCGGTGCAGAAGCAACAAAATCAGGCTTATGAAAACAAAATACAACCAAGAATAACATAATAATCCTGACAAGCATGTAGTACTAACTGCAGAATGAGGATAAATGTCACAGGGCTTTGTGATGGTGTGGCCCGACTTCATCGCCTCGCTATAGTGGGAGTGAATAAAAATACAAGCATTAAAAAATGGACAGGGGGGGCTTCTCTGATGTGCAGAGGGGAGATCATGCCACAGTGTGGATCCACCCGAGATGTAAAAAGGCGTGGGTTGCTGTTTTTAAGTCTTCTTGTGCCCACACGGTGCTATAACCGAATCACCAGTATATTGTGGTCCACCATACCAAATGCTTCAGTTTGGACCAGGAGGACAAGACACACAAAGTCCCCAGAGTCGCTTGCCAGAAAGGATACCATTAACAACCATTCACAAGGCAGACTCTGTGCTATGCAGCATTTTAAAACCAGATTGAAAAAAAGGTCAGGACATGAAGCTCACCCAAAAATGACTTTGCCTGATTGTGATCAACTTTAACAGTAGCAGCCCCAATTGCCATTTCTCTATTTTACAAAATCCTGCAGCTTGTTCGGCTTTGCAGTACTCCTGCCTAGCTGTGCGGGTTGTCTCATTGAACCAGGGCTCAGGTTTAGTTTTGGGCTGACCCTTATGGTTTGGCTAAAGGAGTCAAACCGGGAGCTGACCTCCTCTGCGTTGACAGAAGTTAAGCCAAAGGGAAGGAACAGCTGGTCTAAAGCAGCAGAGAACAGACCAGCAGTGAACAAGTTAAAAGTATGACAGCTTCAAGCATGAGCAGCAAATTTAAGTGCAGCGCAGGAGAAACCCATTTTAACGAGTGGACAAACAAACCAACAAACAGCCATGGAAAAAGCTCTCATGATTTGCCTGGTCTCCGAGTCAAATACTGTACAGTAGTCACATAACATAAAAAAAGAAAAATCTCATTATGATGCATTTCACAAAGACGTTCAACCATAAGTTTCAATAATAAACACATTAAATTATTCACCATTATCCTGACAAGGAGAGATTTTTTTTTTAATTGCTGCTCTTGGATCTCTCACACACACACACACACACACACACACACCCACCCACACAACC